CCCCCCGCCCAAACCCCCCCCCCCCCCCCCCCCCCCCCCCCCCCCCCCCCCCCCACGGGATTTACATTGATAGGTGCATAAATGCTTAAAAAAGCGTCGCAAAGACGGACTGATAGCGTTTTAGAGAATTCCCTCTCAAGGCAAGCGACATAAAGGCGGCAATGAATGTTATTAGGAGTAGGATCTTCATAAGGCTAGAAGAAACCTGAGCTCTTCTCTAGAAAATGGACGTAATCATTAGTAAGGCATGATCAATATGCAAACAATTGGCTAGCCTGAGGAAACAGCCGATACTGGTTTTCCCGAGGTGACAATGCGAAAAGTCGGCTGTTTTCTAAGCCTAACAATTGGCCGGTACCTGTGTCTTTAATGTGATCCGCAGCACCGGGCAATTCCTTTCATCAAGATCAAGAAGCTTGTCCGAGGGCGGACCTTACAACAAAAAAAGGTATAACCAAAAAAAAGATGTCCAAAAACAACAAACAAACCAAACAAAACATGCAAGTTACAGAGTATTAAAAATTTCTTTCTCTTTCTTTTTTTTTTGTCCAAAAATGATAAATGGAAGAGCATAAGTTCTGTTCTTCATTCAGCTTAAAGCAAATACTGACAAAAAAATTCAGTAAATAGAACGGTAAGTACAGTATGTTGCCCAGTATCCGGCGGTACCAGTATCCGGCCACTTAAAGCAAAAACTCAATTTTTGCAGCGCGCTTTTCGGTTTTCGGTAAACAAAGTATTTTGAATGGAGGATGAAGATTTCAGCTTTAAAATGCAAGTTTTGGCCCGTTTACAGCTTGAGAAACAGTTGTAGAAGGCGCCGTTCTGTTCAGGTGGGTAAACTTTTCATGGCTAATATTTACGCTGTTCACTGCGCAGTAGAACTAGCAGTGTTCAAATAAGGGTTGGTAATATGTGATATATATTTTTAAAGAAACTGTTTTATATTTAAGTAATGATCCGGGTAAGGTGGATAGCAATTTCTTTTGTTATGCGGCAACGGTGCTTTCCCCACATAGGAATGTTCTCATTTTTACACAGAGAATGTATAAACCTACATGAAGGCCGTTTACGCAACAAAATGCATTTACACTCCACTTTGAAAGGGTGTTTTTTTGTGTTAAAAGATTTTGACCAATCACAAGGGTTAAAAACAAAAGCCAAGAAAAGTTTACAATTTTACATGTTCCCCACATAGTATTTCTTTGTTATTCAAACTGAGACCAGATTTTGTTATATGGAAGATGGTTGGAAAGTAAGGATGAATATATGTACTGCTTTATGAAGTTTTGATAACTTTTGCTGTTTAAGCCAATCAGAAGTAAGTACAGAATTGAGAAAATCTAGCACCTTTTTTGCATTCCAACATGTTCGTTGCCGTTCAGTGCTATCGTTCTTATCTAGACCGCGTCTTAAAGTGAAGATACTAAAGAAGTCAGGTTGTCAGAAAATTCATTAATTCTTCTTGAATTTCAATTTGTTTGGAATAACGGAGGCCAGAAACATTCACTAAGTATTGATGTCAGGTGAGGTGGGGTGCCCAGTATCCTGCCAGTTTTTTTCTTTGCTGTTCAGAGTCGATGATAAGCTGCGTACATTATCCTGGCAAGATTTATTTCATATCTATAACAATAGTTAAAGCTTAGGATATATAATATAATCTGCATAATGTTATTCTACTCAACTCCTTATGGAAATTCAGAGGCGAACTGATTTCGAGTGCACTGCTTGTTTCGGCCGTGACTGCATTTTCTATATATAACCAGCAGCGTCGAAGTTGAACGGAAAATTCTCATACAAATCCCCCAGTTGTGACTGCTAGAATGGGATTGCAACAGACTGAAAAAATGTCTAAAAGGGATTGAGAGATATGAAAGTCAAGAAGGGGGAATTAGTGCTAGAAAACAGCAGCCCAAATGTGGGGACTGAGCACGAAGAAATTAACGGTGTAGGTCAGACTAAATGGGAGAATGACCTTTGACCGTCCGTTGGAAGGGCCCAAAAAATAAAAAAAATAAGAAAAAAACGCCGGTTTGCAGATTGGCTAAATGAAGTTTGTATTTTATAAGAAAAAAAAAACAACAGAATTTTGTTTTTTTTGTTAGTTTCTTTTGTCATTTTTTCTCCATATATTTCTATTTATTCATAGTTTTCCCCACCATACCCCAGCTATTAGTCATGTTTTGTTTCATGATTCTAGGTTCCCAGGTCGATTTATATTTTTGGAATCGAATGCCAGTCTACTTTGCACGTGCAAGAGGAGCTTATAAGTCTATTGCCTCCTTTTTATTTACGCGCGTACGAACGTAAAAATTACGCGGCAGTGGAAATCCACCCCTACAAAGACAATCAGACACGGGTTTCTTATGAGACTTGGTGGTGATTTTTCGGTAGTTTAAATCCTTTCATTTTCTTTAACCAACGTTGATTTACATTCGCGTTACCTTCTCTCCTCTTTCCGTCAGGGATTTTCAATCTATTTCTCTGTCTCATTTTCTTCATACGAATTCGCGTTCTTCAGTGTACTTTATTGTAGATGTCTGGATGCCCATTACATTTTCTGTGCTACAAGATGCTTCAAGCCCTTTAGTGCGTCGTGTTTTGTTTACACAAAACCTTTGCGCTTAAAAACACAACAATCAGAGATTTCGTATTTATTGCACCATATTTTCGAATTGTAGCAAATATATTGAAATAAAATAAAATAAATTCTTTCTCTGAACATAGATTATTCAAATATGTAATTAATTACGTTTTAATTACCCTATTACCTACCACAATAGTACTTCTAGTAATAGTAGGAAAATTTCTGTGGTCTAGACACAGATATCCTAATCTTAAGCATGTTTGGCGTCAAGTTTCCTATTAACAACAATACGCCACTCGCAAAATTACTCCTTTCTGCCACTTAGAGGGCCATATATAAAAAAAACCCAAGAGACGTATTTGTTAAAAGAGAAATTACTTAAGTTTTCTAATTACTTTATAGGTTCAATGAAACTATTTACGGCAGAGCTACGCCTTGAACGAAGACAAAAATAAAAAAATACCACTTAAAAAGTTAACCGATATATTCAGGTTGTGTCATCGTGTCGCAGACAAATTGCTTTTGGTGTTGCATTCCAGCGCATTAAACACAGTCTTTGTTATGAGACAATTTATTGAGTCGACAGGACGAGAAGTTGCTTTCGCGCTGCATCTTTTCCAACTTGATTGTAAGTAAGAGCCATAAACTTTCCTTTGTTATTATTTTCTCTTGACACTGTAAACAGGAAGCCAGCGGTTTGTTCCTTAATTCCAGCTACACACACCACTTCATGGCACCATCACGTCCCTTAAAAAGGCACCTCCATCACCTTCAAGAATACTAGTACCAAGATCACGGAAGTTCAGGTCAGTAGCTAGTTTGTAACGCATGCGCAAATCATTTACAAATCCCAAGAGTCTTTTCATGTTGGCCGCAGCTTGTGATGAGCGATAAGTTTCATTCTTGTACCTAAGAGATGCGAAAATTACATTTAGATTTTTTTTTTTACAGCCGAATCCGTGGAAATCAAATAGTCTGGGTAGAGCGGTAGGTTGTCACACACACTTATGACCAATTAAAAAGCAAAGTAACACAATTCCGTTGTTTTTAGCTGTTGAATATGGTATTTTGGGAGGTACAATGTATGCTCTACTTATAGGGATCAAAGTACTGACAGGGAATGAAATTTCAGGAGTTTTCCAGGTTAGAAAAGTGACAACTTCAGGACCCAAAAAAGGAAAATTTTGATGCTAATAAAGTGCGTTTAATGCAAAAAGGTCCATCCAATTTTCATGCCAATTAAGTGCTTTTAATGCATTACGTTAAAACTTAGCAACAGCCTCTATTTCTCCATAACATACTATGTCACAATTATCCAATAAAATTATAAAATTCCAGTTTTCCAGAAAAAAGAGGATTTCCCAGGAGTAGTAAGAACTCTACTCAGTTTGAACAAGATTTAACGTCTTTTCAAACCAACTATATAGAACTTAACACGCGCCGAACCGATAGACAATTATCGTGCGATCAATTAATCACAAGAAAAAGAAGAAGAAAGAAAAAAGAAAATGAAATTACCAACTCTTTAGCCGGTACAACATTCATGTCACTTACTTGTGAGCGACATCAACATAAAGATT